ACTGGTGGAAGATAGCTTGAGAACAGAGATGAAATCTGAACTGCTGAGCAGGGGCCTGGAGAGTGCACCTGGGTCTAATGTGATGGAAGCTCCTAGAGGGTCTAACTTCGGTAGTAACCTGGGAGCACATTGGAGCAGGGGTGACGGGAGACGGGTGAGGGAGGAGAAGAGGGACGCAGCCAGATGTGGGGGGTTCTTACACGTTAGTTTGCAGGACAATGCTGCTGTGGAACCCGGATTTTGGATGATGGCCCGAGGGCCATGTGTGGATGAATTGGAGAGAGGGGATGTTAAGTTTAAGTGGGGGAAGTTGTGGTGTGGAGAGGCAGGTGCAGAATGCCCCCGTTGGCTCACAGTGCATAGCCATTTGGCCTTAGCTCCCTGCCAGCGTTGTCCTGTGTCCCGCCTCCTCACAGACCCTGGGCACTTCCTGGGTGCTGCACCTGTGCGGCTCTGCTCTGAACGTGCCTTGGGGGCCCACATCCCTCTGTAGAAAGCCTGCCAGAGTCGTTAAGGAGTGTTCTCTCTGGTTATACACTTCTGTCAGGGCTTTAAAAAACGGCAGCGCTGTTACTTGTCTGTTTTGTGTGAGCCCACCACACATTTTGGAAGATCTCCTGTACACAACGAGTTAAAGGACAAATTAAAGCTTTTTAAAAAAAGGTTGTTAATATTTGTGCCAATGTTTCTTGAGTTGTTCGTTTATCTACTTAAAATTTAATTATATGAACGTTTATCTGTTTCATTATAAATGTGATATAGGGCGTGTTCACCAGGGAAAAGTTACAAAAGACCAGAAAAGAAGAAGTATGACAGCAATCACCTACTGTCAGTGTTTTTTTTTTTTTTTTTTTTTTTTTTTGAGACAGAGCCTCAAGCTATCACCCTGCATTGAGTGCGGTGGTGTCACAGCTCACAGCAACCTCAAACTCCTGGGCTTAGGCGATTGTCTTGCCTTAGCCTCCCAAGTAGCTGAGACTACAGGCACCCGCAACAACGCCCGGCTAGTTTTTAGTTATAGTTGTCGTTGTTTGAGACTACAGGCACCCGTGACAATGCCTGGTTATTTTTTGGTTATAGTTGTCGTTGTTTGGTGGGCCTGGGCTAGATTCGAACCCGCCAGCTCTGGTGTATGTGGCTGGCACCTTTACTGCTGAGCTATAGATGCCTAGCCTGTCACTGTTTTTAAATTTTATTCTGGTGGATTTTTTTTGTTTGTTTAATATAGCCATAATTACTGTGATCTCTCTGTGTATATATACATCTGTATCTATCTATGGCACACAGATCTACATGGTATGTATGATACGGATATATAGGTACAGGTATAAATAGATAGATCAGACGCACTTCCATAGCTCTCCAACCTATTCAAATGCCATTTTTGATGGTTTCATAGCATTGTACTGTATAAATGTGTGACAGATTTTTAACACCATTCTTACAGTAGTAGACACTTGGATTATATTCAATATTTTTATAAATAATTTTATCATATAAATCTTTGTATGCAGAATATTTCAAAACTAAGGATTTGTCTATAAGTGAGATTCCTAAAAGTGGAATTATTGACTCATAGGGTATAGACTTACTTTTTAGCATCTTGACCAATTGTTTTCAAAAGGATTCCCACATGTACAGGCAAAATAGCCACAACTCAATCTTAATAGGCTGCTTTTTTCAAAACATTAGGGTATAGTGGGACAGTTTGCGTTACCTGCATTTTAACCTCAGTAAATGACTGTTTTGTGGGTATTTGCATTATTTATGACTCTTAAGATAAATAATCAGAGATTCTTATTTATTTAGGTTTCAACATCCAGGAGGCACTGACCAGGATTTTAACAATAGCTCAGCAAATCTGTAATACTCAGCCTTTAGCCGTCTTCACCCTGGAAACGACTCTATTTTTAACTGTTTAGAGCTATGTGTGCTTGGACTAATGCAAGGAAAGTACTGGAGGTGATTTGGAAACATGAAGGTGTATCAATTTTAGGTAAGGAAGACTTTTCTAATAAATACAATTGTCTATAAAATTACCTGGAATATTACTGTGGCTATTATACTTTTCCAATCCGTGACTTTAATGCCGATGAATAAAGAAACTTGAATGAATCAGCTAAAAAGCTGCAGAACATTTTTCAGATTTTGTTTCCTATCACTCTATGTTTTGGCAGAAACGGAAGCAGATCATTGTTTCCCGATGAGCCTTTACATGTTAACACGCGCATAAACACCTTTCACTTGGTCTTTACATGGCCATCGAGTCTTACTGACTTTATTGAGTTTTCACTCGTGTTTCTTGCCTTACCATTATAAAGTCAGGATTGTACTTGAGCAGAGAAATTGATTGGGGATGATAAGAAGTTAAAGGAACTACAGGGAGGTGGGAGAGAATTATGGCCTTCTGGACAAGAAAGTTAGAAAGGGCAAAATTAGGAATTTTGGGTGCATGTGATCTAGGTAACCAAGTACATGCTGTTTCTGTAAAATACAATTTCTGGCCTGTGACACATGACCTGTAGCCCATGAATGATCCCCCCTAAAACAAAGGTAAGGATTTCTGTCACAGAACAAGGCATGCCATAATTGCCACCAGCATCACAAGAGTAACAGACACTGTCATGCCATCACTAGTAAAATAACAGTTAATCATTATTGATA